TTCCCAGCTTACAGATGCTGCCTTCTCCGGGTCTTTAGAGGGCCCTTCCCCACGTGTGTCGGTGTCCACATCTGCTCTTCTTATGAGGGCTCCACTCCTATTCAGTAGGTCCACCCTTATGATCTAATTTCATCTTAATTACGTCTGTAGAGGCCTTGTCTCCAAATCTAGTACGCTCTGCAGTACTGGAGCTTAGGACTTCCACATGGGAGTGGTCATAAGCCCCATTTACTGCCACGTAGCCAGCATGAAAAATGTACTTGGCTTGTGGTACTGACATTTTGGACCACTGGAAAAGTCATGATGTATTTTGCATAGAAAAAGTACATCATGACTTTTCCATCCACCCAGTATTTATTGAATGAATGAATACAAGGGCTCCCTTTAATAGTTTTTAAACTGGAGGGACCAGCAGTTGGCATAATGGCTATGCCACTGGACTCCCATGTAGTAGACCACGGGTTGAGTACTGGACCCGGTGGCTTAAACTCATGCCGGGTGCGTGTGTGTGAGTGCCCAGAATCCCAAGAGGAGAATGGAGGAGAAGGGATTGTGCAGTGGCCATCCCCCCGGGGGGGGGGTGATTTCTTGCTTTCTATCTCTCTGTCTCTCTCTGTCTTTCTGGCAAACGCCCCCACCCTATAGCAAAAACCTCTCCATAAAGAAAAAATAAAATAGTTTTTAAACTGGATACTTTAATTTAAAATTGAAGGTGTTGACTCTAATTAGTTGGTAGATAGAACCAACTAATATATCTGAAGTATCAAAGCAGTGTTTATTTTTCAGGCAAACAGTCACTAAGACACTCAGGCAATTTCCAAGGCAGTCCATGGAGTGCAAATTTAAAAATGTAATTTTTGGGGAAAGCTTTACAGAACTTCCTTTTACTCATCGTGTAAAACTGGAGTCGAAAGTGATGGTTCAGGAACATCAGAACTTGGTAACCATTAGAGGAAATGAGCAGTGTTCTTAGTTGCAGGACAGCTCTCCCTGCCAACGTGCATCTTCTTTGCTGAGCTCCTCTTTGCTCACTGGGACTGCCTGGCGTGGAGCTGAGTTCTCAGGCCACAGACCACAGCGCTGTGTCTTTCTTGGTTGACTACCAGGTTCTGGTATGAAAATCCCATAGTGTTCACCCCTGCTCAACTCACTCAGCTGAAACAGGTGTCCCTGGGCCGTGTGCTGTGTGACAATGGTGACAATATCCAGCAAGTCCAGGCTGATGTCTTCATAAAGGCGGAATACCCCCAGGACTACCTGAGCTGCTCTGTGATCCCCAAGATCGATTTGCGAGTATGGCAAGACTGCTGCGGAAGTCAGTGGGTCATTGGGAGCAGAACAGTTCCATCTCGATCCTACTTGTGCACGTGTGTGTTTACCTGCTATTTTCATTGTCAGACATGGTGCAACATCAGCAAAATATAAAAAGAACAACACAAAAGTGTCCTTTTGGAAATCAAGTGGAACTCCATGGGTGGATCCAGTAGCTTTGTTAGAGTGGAAAGGGCCTTACTGGTACAACTGGTCTCTGATCTGCAGGGTTTTATTTTTAATTTATTTTTAATTTTTTATTTTTTATTAGAAAAAGAGAAAAAGAGGGAGAGGGAGAGCACTAGAAGCAGGCATTCCGGATGTGGTCTCTCCAGGGAGCGATCCTCCTGTCCCAGCCTCCCTAGAAGCTAGAATTACAGGTGCATCCAGCTCTGCCTGGCGTGTTCAGGTTTCCCTGGGAGCCAAACCTGGGCCTCCCATAGGTTTCCAGCCTCCGAAGTTGTGGCATTCTCTGCACCACTGCGGCCTGGCCCTGCATTCCTACTGCATTTCAAATGACTGTATCCAAGAGCAAACTCCAATCACTTGATACTGAATGTGTTTAGTTTTTAGAAGTCAGCTGAACAGAGAGAAAAGAAAAACCATAGTAACCCCACAAAGTCAGGTTAGTTATTCTCCATGCGATGTCCCAGCCTTGTTCTTCAGAAGTATGAGGAAGTCTTGGTCAAGGCAAATCAAAAAGCTCTCCCTGTATACACAACAAAACTTGTGACTTCTGTAAGGTCTCCTACCATGAGCCAGACTCTCCTTTGAGTGCTTCATAAACGTTAGTTTTGTCCTCACAATCTCTCTCAAGAAACATGGAATTGATTCTCCTTCATTTGATGAAGAAAACACATGGCTAGAAATCTTAGATGACTTGCCTAAGCCCCCAAATGAGTAAGTGGTAGACCTGGGACCAGTGCAGTGATGTGAGGAGTCTTCCAAAAGTTCTTGGAAAGTGTGTATTGTGAAAAACCTATGCATAGGTTTCAAGTTTTCTTGTACCAAATTAACTTTGATTCCATTTTCCAAAAACTTTTTGAAGTCCCCTCATATTGTCTACGCACACCTAGAAGTGAATGAAAGATGTGATGATGATGGAATAGAGTGTACCGAGCTGTCACAGGTGAGCAGGCATCTGTCACAAGGCAGGGCGCTCTCTGCCCCCTCCTGGAACCTGAGCCGCCAGTCCCCTGATGACCATCTGTAGAGCCCATGCACGTGGGCAGCTCCCATGTTCTCTAAGAATGAAATGGACAGGAACAGTACTGGGGTGCACAGGAACAGTACAGGGGGCAAAACTGGTAGCCCCCAAATATGCCAGAGAGGAAAAAGCAGCTTCTAGAAATACACGTGAACACCTCGCCCCGAACAGCACCGCTTGAGTCGTGGTTGTCTTTTCTCTACGGTGGCTCCTGGGACAGCACAGAAGGTAATTTCGTTCTGTGGGAAGGATGGTGCTCTTTTCCTCATCTTTGGTGGTTAGCTCCACAAGAACGAACTATTCCCACATGGGGAGTGGGAAGACAGTACACCCTTGATGGGCAGCCAGCAGTCTCTGCTGCTGCTTCGCAGCTTCTTGGACTGGACACAGAGTTGCCAGGCAAAGGAAGAGAGTAGATGGCACGGCAGGGTGTGGGCACAGGGCAAGTGGCTGTGCCCTACGTGGAGGCAAAGACACAGTCCAGAGGCCAGGACTGTGGTCCCTTACTCCCAGGCATACCATTTACTAGTGTAACTCTGATATGGGATCGACATAAACACTTAAATAATGACGAGTCTTTGAAGGTGGGTATTATCATACTTATTTTACATGAGAGGAAAATGAAGCTCTGGGAAGCTAAGTACCTTTTCTAAGGTCACACAAGTGCCCACAGCCTCCTAGTCACACCTGTAGGACAGGTGCAGAGGACAGACAGTGAGTAGGTACTAAGGGAAGGGCAGGTCCCCCTTTCATTGCTGTTGCTGCACATCTGAGAACCGAGAGGAGAGCCTGTCAGGATTTGAGGTGTCATACATCTGATACTATGGAGGTTTGCTAGGGGAGAGATGATGCAAACATTTATAGCCAAGGTTGGAAGGAGGACCTTGGGTTTGTGAGACCACCTTACTATCAACACAGAATATTTTTTCCCACAGTGTGACCAAAAGTGTCTGGGAATTAATCTGACAGTGGTATGCATGTAGTATTGAGTTGTGTAGAAGAATGCAGAGGTGGGCCACTAGGTGGCGAGGTGATGGAGGTGGCTGCATCTCACATGGTTCCCAGTGTGGTTTCCATCTAGACCTGTGACTTGTAAAACACAGGCTGCATGAGTGAGCATGCCCAAAGTCCTGAGAGGAGAACGGAGGAGAGAGGATTGTGATGTGAGTGTCCTCTTGTGGAGGGCTTTCTCACTTCTCCTCTGTCCAGTGCATGTGCCTGTCCTATAGCAAAATTAAAGAAAGAAGAAGTATCCAGTGTTTTGTTGTTGTTGTTGTTGTTTTGTTTGTTTGTTTTTTTGCTGTGTGTGTGCGTGTGTGTTTGTGAGAGAGAGACACTCATTGTTAACCGCACTCAGACATGTAGAAACACATCTTTCCCCTGTACAATGATGCCAAAAGGTTGTATTGGTAGAAAAATCATATGCTAGTCCATTGTTTTGTTCTTTACAGAAATAATCCTAGACTGAGTGGTTTGCAGAGACCAGAGGTTTACTTAGTTCATGATTCTGGTGGTGGAAAAGTCCAAAGGCGTGGGGCTGGTCTCTGCTGCTTCACAACATGTCAGAGAGAAGTGGGCAGGTCTGCAGATGTGTGCAGAGCGGGACCTGGGCAGCTCTTATTTTTCAAAAAAGTTCACTTACTTATTTTTTCTGTTAGAAAAGGAGAGAGAGAAACAGCATGCCAACAGTGTCTAGGCACAATCACTCACCTGAGCAAGCCGGTGGGGACACACCACACAGAGCGTCATCACTCAAGGCTAAAAATATGTCTTACGTGCTTCATTAGTCATGTAAGGAGTCTGAAATACTTATAATGAGGACCAATGTAAATAGATCCACATGTGTTTTTCTGTTTACTTTTGACTAATGAGTGTGGATTTTTCATTAAAAAAAAAAAACACATTCTTTAAAAAGGAGGACTTTAATTAAAGGTACTTAGAAAATGCTCAGAAGTGGACCACTCGTATATGGCATGGACTTCTTACTCCTCCCAATTAACAGGCCCATTCTGCATGTAAGTCAGGGGCGACCCAGGACTTTGTCAAAGGTGGCTCTGCAGTCTCGGATAGAGCCAACCCAAATGCCCAAGAACTAATGACTGAGTTGAAACATTGTGGTATATTTACATCGTGGAGTACTATTTAGGCATAAGGAACAATAAGACCTTCTCATTTGATTAAAAGTGAATGAATATAGATGACTTAACATAATGTTAAGTGAATAAACCAGAATTTGAAAGGCGAACAGCGTATATTCATGCTCAATATATACTGAATGTCTGAGCCTTATGGCAGAAATGGAAAGATCTTAAGATATGGTATAGCGAAGATAAGTGTAGATACCAGAGGCTGTAAGGGAGGGGAATTAACGGTAGAGGGTAGGTTGGAGATGCAATGGGAAGAAACACTTAGCAGAAACAAGAATGCAAAGTTCTCTATTGATATGATTTGTATGGTAATAACTTTGATTTGATTGTTATGTATTGCATACTTTGGAAAACAATGTTATGTGCTATAGCGATGCGCAATGACTGATTAAATAAGAAACCATAAAATGTAACAAAGATTGGAAAAAATCCAAATCCACTTTCCTAATATTTTAAAATACAGTGAGTTGTCTGTAGCTACCCTGACTCTAACGTGTTCTCGCGTTCTGACACTCAGCACTGGTCTACCTGCCTCTCATATTTCTTTAC